ACAACTCTAAGCAACTATGTTGCAAATATAGAAGCTAAACAAAACCCCAGAAACCAGCTTTCAGCCAGCCGGGATCTCAGAGCTAGAGTTATACATTGTTTCGATTATAGCAGCGGAAGCCTCAGAGCTAGAGCCAAAGCTAAAGCTGGCCCAGAATAAAAAAAAAAAGAAAGAAAAAAAAAAGGAGTGGTTGGGAGCTTCAGTCAATTGCCAGCCTGAAAGCAGCCCTCAGCTCCTCACCCAGACTGGCCAGGCACCCCAGTGGGGACCCCCACCCTGATCCAGGACACCCTTCAGGGCAAACCAGCCGGCCCCCAGGCCTCTATCCTATATAGTAAAAGGGTAATATGCCTCCCAGCACCAGGATCAGCGGAACCGCGAGGCCTCCTGGCACCGGATCAGCGTGACAGGGGGCAGCGCCCAAACCCCCTGATCGTTCTGCGGCTCTGTGTGTGACAGGATGCGGCGCCACAACAACCCCCCCCCCCCCACAGGCCCCTGCTCTGTGTTGTGAAGGGGGTAGGAGCCATAACCTCCCCATCCGCCCTGCCCTGAGTGTGACAGTGGCGGCGCCCCAACCCCCTGATCCGCCCTGCTGTGTGTGTGACAGGGGGCGGTGCCCTAACTCCCCTATCGGCCCTACTCTGTGAGTGACGGGGGGAGCTCCTCAACCCCCTGATCGGCCCTGCTCTGTGCGTGACAGGGTACAGAGCCCCAACCTCCCTGATGGGCCCTGCTCTGTGCGTGACAGGGGGCAGCGCCCCAACCCCCTGATTGGCCCTGCAGGGTACGGAGCCCCAACCCCCCTGATGGGCCCTGCTCTGTGCATCACAGGGGGTGGTGCCGCAACCTCCCCATCGACCCTGCCTTGAGTGTGATAGGGGGCGGTGCCCCAACCCCCCAATCAGCCCTACCCTGAGCGTGACTGAGGGTGGCATCGCAACCTCCCGATCCACCCTGCTCTGTGCATGACAGGGGGCAGCGCCCCAACTCCCCAATCAGCCCTGCTCTGAGCCCGACCAGGGGCTGCACCTAGGGATTGGGCCTGCCCTCTGCCACCCAGGAGCAGGCCTAAGCCAGCAGGTCGTTATCTCCTGAGGGGTCCCAGACTGTGAGAGGGCACAGGCCGGGCTGAGGGACCCCCGCTTCCCCCCCAGTGCACAAATATTTGTGCACCGGGCCTCTAGTCTTACCTAATAATAGACAAACACGTAAATTGACCATAACTTTGCTACGCTAACCAGCTAATCAGGAGAATATGCAAATTAACCTAACAAAGATGGCGGTTAATTTGCATACATAGGCGGCCGGCGGAGCAGCGAAAGCCTCACGCCACGGGGCCCGCGGAGCAGCGAAGCCTCATGGCTCCGGGGCCGGCTCCGGCTGGAGCCCGGCCAGAGCGAAGGCCTGGGTGCCGGGTGCCAGATGAAAACCATTGCCAGCAGCCAGGGGAAAGGAAGGCCTATTGCACGAATCTCTTCGTGCAACAGGCCTCTAGTTGCTAAATAAACAAGAACTTCTGGGGGTCCTCAGTTTGAGAAGCACTGCTGTCAATCTAGCATCACTGATCTTCAGTGAGCTCCTCTAGGTTGGCCAACCATACCTTAAGGAAGGGATCTTGCCATCTACACTGGTACCCTCAACCTGCCATCTGCAGCCTACTGCTGGTCCATAAACTATTCCTGATTCATAATAAGCTAAGTACCGAAATCGAGGACAAACTTTTAGAAACATTTGCAACAATTTTACATTGCTACTCAACCAACCACATATGGGCTTATATTTTATAAGTCCTTGGTTTTTTATTTCATTTCATTTTTCTAGTTGTTCATTTTTATGGTATTTTACAAAAGTGTCAGTCTGCAACACTTTGGAAATATTTAAAAGTGGTCCTTCACAGATATATTGTGAAACATCCTATACAATAAAAGAGAAACATGCAAATTAACCATCCCTCTGCTACGCTTACCAGCCAATCAGAGTATGCAAATTAACCTGAGAAAGATGGCAGGTTAATTTGCATACACAGGCACCAGGCAGCCAGGGGCGGGGCAGGTTCTTCCCCTGCATCGACATGGCGCCAGGGAGCCGGGGGCAAGGTGGCGTGTGCGGACACCAGGGAGCCTGGGTTGGGGCGCGAGCTTCCTCTGTGTCGCCATGGTGATATGGGGAAACTCCCACCTGGCAGGCGCGCGCATGCAGGCACTGGGGAGACGGGGTCGGGTCCGGAGCTTTCCCCCGCATTGCCATGGTGACACTGGGGAAGTTCTTGCCCTGCAGCTGCTTGCGCATGCGCAGGCCCTGGGAAGCTGGGGGGGGGGGGAGGGGGCGGCGCGCGCGGACGCCGGGGATGCTTCCGCCTGGCTAGCACGCACGCACATGCGCCTGGGAGTTGGGGTTGGGGGGGCGCGCGGAAGCTGGGGACAGGGGAAGCTCCCACCCCACTGGAGTGCGTGCGCGGGTGCCGCTACGCCCACCAGCCAATCAGGGCGAGTATGCAAATTAACCCAACAAAGATGGCAGCAGCCATGAAGCTGGAGGCTTGGGTTGCCCCTGGAGATGGAGGAAGCCAAGCTTCCCGCCCGCCTTGGCCGCTGCTGAAGGAGTGGTTGGAAACCTAGGTCTGTTATGCCCAGAGTTCGGGGTCCCCAATAATCCACCACCAGGGAGCCTTTTCCGGTGCAAAAGCAAAGGGTCTTTTATTCAAGCCTGGGACTTGGTCCCCCCTGCCCGCCGCCTCCATTACTGGATGCAAGAGAGAGCCCCGAGTTCTAAGAGAACAAAGAATTTATAGGGCTTGGGGTCGGGGGGGGGAGGGGCACACTCTGACCACTGATTTGGCCGATTCCGGTTGGTTGAGTGAGGGCTGGGGGCTAGTGACGCAAGGGCAGGGTACAGCTAGGGTCTGGTTACACAAAGACAGGGGGATGGCTAGCATACTCTTGGCCTTGGGCTAGTTTCCCCCACTTTCCCATTGGCCGAGATAAGGGCAGGCTGAGTAACTGATACATTCTGCGGCTTTTTCTTGGAAGAGGGGTTAAGGACACAGCTATCAGTCCTGTTCTGTCCTTTCAGGTCAGGGGTGACCCAGGCTTCCAGCCTGCCCTGGCCTCTGCTCAAGGAGTGGCTGGGGAAAAAAACACACAAAAGGAGGGACTGGCCTCCTCTCTAGGAGGGGCTAGGAGCCTGGGTTGGGGGGGGAGGGGGAGGCGTGGCCAGCCTGAAAACAGCCCTCAGGCCCTTACCCAGGCTGGCCACATCCCCATGGAGTAAGAGTCCCCGCTGGGGGGCATGGCCAGCCTGCAAACAGCCATCATCCCCTCACCCAGGCTGGCCACGCCCCCCCCAGCGGGAACCCTCACCCCATGGGGGCGTGGCCAGCCTGCAAACCACCGCAGGCCCCTAGCCCAGGCCGCCCCATTCCCCAAGGGAACCCCCACCCTGATCCGGGACACCCTTCAGGGCAAACCAGCCGGCCCCCACCTGTGTACCAGGCCTCTATACTAATAAAAAAGTAATATGCTAATTAGACTAGGAGACCTTCCAGGAGACCTTCCGGACATACCCCTGGACAAAGCCATGGTAGTGGGGCTGAGGTAGAGGCAGTTAGAGGCCAAGAGGGGAGGGCAGTTGTGGGTGATCAGGCCAGGATGGGATGGCAGCTGTGGGTGATCAGGCCGGTGTGGGGGGGCCATTGGAGGTGATCAGGCTGGGGGGGCAGGTTGGGGGTGAGCAGACCAGCAGGGGGGCCAGTTGGGGGCGAGCAGGCCATCAGTGGGGGTGATCAGGACTGTCGGGGGGGCAGTTTGTAGTGAGCAGGCCAGCAGGGGGGCAGTTGGGGGCGAGCAGCCCAGTGGTGAGGGAAGGTGGGAGCAAGCAGGCCAGCAGGGGGGCAGTTGTTGGCGAGCAGGCTGGCAGGAGGGGACAGTTGGTAGCGAGCACACTGGCACGGGGGGCAGTTGGGGGTGATCAGTCTGGTGGGGGGGCGTTTGTTGGTGATCAAGTGCTGGCGGGGATTTGATGGGAGAGGACACAGCTGGGAGCAGTTGGTGGCGAGCAGGCAGCGGTGGATAGTGCTGCCCACTCACGAGGATAAGTAATAGAACCCACCAGTCTTATTATTATAACAGTAACTTCCTAGTGCTGATATAAAGCCCCCCCCCTCTCAACTGGAAAAAGAACATCATTTCCACGATCCCCAAATCAGAAAAGGTGCAGGCAAGTTTGGGGGAAAAAGAGCAAAACTGTAGCTGGTTATTTATTTTGTATTAGGGGGGGCGAGGGTAGTATAGTAATATATCATCAGGTTTTGGTGAGTCATCAAGAGGAAAAAACAGGACGTACACCGACAGTATTCCGGACCCGGTAAAGTGGACCCACCTCCGGAAATTTCCTTCTTGTTGGTTAGAATCCGTCCCCTGGAAAAGTCCTTGAAAG